TAAACTATATCGAATACAATGAGCATATAGTAAATCACGGGAGAGAAGTTTTAGTAGCCTCTGCTGTAGTACACCACTCACCGTACGTGAGGGGAACACTTTATTTGAAGGTAATAAAAACTGATTATAAAGCCAGATAGAGATAGATAGAGCATGATCGAGCATCGGGTCACGTGCGCGCACCGTTTATTTATAGCGCTGCATTATGTTTTCTTGCACCAAAGCGCCTATCTCTGCTCTGGAAGGCCGTCAATGCCTGGAGATATTGGGCCTCCCCGAAATCAGGCCAGAGCGTGTCGGTGAAGAAGAGCTCAGAGTAAGCCGACTGCCACAGCAGGAAGTTGCTGAGCCTCAGCTCGCCGCTGGTCCTGATGAGCAGGTCCGGGCAAGAGGAGGAGGATTCGTCTGCCGCACAGCTGGTCTGGAGCTCGTCGGCGAACATCGACTCATCGATGTCCTCCGGCCTGAGCAGCTTGGCGTCCACCTTTTGGGCGAGCTTACGGCATGCTTGCACAATGTCCATCCGCCCGCTGTAGCTGATGGCTAGGACTAGATCGAGACGCGAGTTGTTCCTTGTTGCCTCCTCGGCATCTCGTGCGGTCTTCTGCACAGAGATTGGCAGCCTTGAGCGGTCACCAATTATACGTAGACGGGTCCCTTCCCTGCAACAGAGTAACACAGAAATATAATCGATCGATCTCTTCTCCTTGTGATCGGCCCAAAATTAATACTACCTCTGCAACTTTTTATACTCAGTGACATCTTTAGAGTCTATGACAGTGTCAAAAAACGTCTTAAATAAATCAAGTTACAGAGGGAATATGAACTAATTAATTTGCACAAGTACTGAAGTAGTCATATGTAGTACCGTACCTCATGAACTCGGCGAGGTTGTCGTTGATAAACCTCTCGATCAAGGCCATCAAGAAGTCAACCTCCGCCTGCAAATGCCATGAAAGAACACCACCATCAATCAAGAGCTATGTATGTACATGTATGCATGGCGGGCGCGCACGATCGAGGAATGACAAGGTATTATAGGTGCGGGCCTTTGGTCGATTCCAGTTCTCGAGCGAGAAGCCGAAGGCGGTGACGACGCGGATGCCCCAGGCGCGGCAGAGCCGCACCGTCCTCATCAGCGCGCGCATCCCGTGCTCGTGCCCGTCTGTCGGTGGCAGGCCCCGCGCTGCCGCCCACCGAGAGTTCCCATCCATCACCAGCGCCACGTGCCGCGGCAGCGACTCCGACCGGAGCCCTTCTGGGAGGAGCACCTCGGCCGCCGGCGCGGATGTAGAGTTGGAGAGCGGCATAGTAGAGCGCTGCCTTGTTTCAGGGTGGTTCGGAGCGGCAACGTGGAATGGGGGCGGTGCTCTCTCCTCGTAGTACTCTTCTCCGTGCTCCTCTAATCTGTATCCCCTTGGCCCAAATTAAGGTGGAAAATAAACCTAAGAGCCAGAGAATCAAGCCAAGATCTTTGGCCTGCCTCGTCGACACTTTGATCACATGTAAACTCTTGGAAGTAGAGATATCGTAATGCGTAAAGTGCAGAAGCAAGTTCAAGGTCAAAGAAGGAGCCCCGATCGAGGGCTATAGATTCTCATTGCTTGTAAAGTTTCTCTAATCAGCATCTCAGTGACCCAATCAAGGTAAAAGCCCTAAGGCCTAGAGAATCTTTCTGAACATGCCATGTTGCTTGTCTGCATGACTCCAGGCTCGACCGCATCGAACTCTGTTTTATCAATCGATTTTTCTGCGTGTGGCAGGGTGCTTGGCTGTAGATCCCCGATCGTTTCAATCAGTGGAGTTTTAAACGAAACACGGTATAGGTGCAGATGCTCACATGTACGCACATATACTTCTCCCTACGAACGTATGCAGGCACATCCTACCTTTATAAGCACATTTGAGATTCTGAGCCTATGGACCTTGAGATTGAAGAAGTCGCCACATACGGCATAATGTGTAAACTCGTGGCAGTGAATGCTCTTTCTACTGTGTAAATTCGTGACAAAAGCAAGTGGCTGGGTCAAAACGAAAAGCCCCAAGCACCCAAGGTTTAGGGATTCTATTTACATGTTAACTTGGAACATGCTCCTCCAATCTGTTTACATTACTGCAATCTTGGCCATAGCTTCTTCGTTGGCATATGAGCTATGTCACTCCATAGGGCTCAATTAAGCTTAATAAGAACCCTAAGACCTACAGAATCAAGCCAAGATCTTTCCGCATATGGCACGGTACCATTCCAATTTTCATAATGTATAATCTCGTGGTGGTGGGGACATGATGACACGTGAACTCGTGACAGAAGCAAGTGACAAGGTAAAAAAAGAGCAATGGTTTATCTTTGCCAGAGACCCCATTTCAACTCTTTCACATCTTTGTTTAAGATTTCTCCACAGTTCCAAAGTTTCCACATGCAACATTCTTCTGAATCTAAACCCATCCCAACCTTTTTGTACTGCTTCAGCCACAGTAATATTGTGGTCAAAGCACAGAAAGTATAATCTGGTGTAAGCCATTTTTCAGGTTTTATCATCGGCGTACCCGAAGGGGAGCCTTGGCGCAGTGGTAAAGCTGCTGCCTTGTGACCATGAGGTGATGGGTTCAAGTCCTGGAAACAGCCTCTTACAAAAATGTAGGGAAAGGCTGCGTACTATAGACCCAAAGTGGTCGGACCCTTCCCTGGACCCTGCGCAAGCGGGAGTTACATGCACCAGGTTGCCCTTTTTTTTATCATCGGCGTACCCAAATATCTTCCCAGAACCTAGTATTATGTCCATCTCCCAGCTTTTTTCTTTTACAAAATTGATAGAACAGGTCTTTGACTTTTACAATAATTCTATTTGATAGTTTCTAAAACGCCAATGAAGTCAAGCTTATGATCAATGATCATTTCCCTAACATATCTTTTTTTAGGGTCTTGTCCCAAACCTCTCACATTCCAAAAACTTCATTTCATTGCTAAAAATTATAGATCAAAATAAGGAGAAAGCAAAATATTTGAAGTATCTCTTTTCTTCCTATCCCTATGCAAAGGACGACCAACAGAAACCGAGTGCTTCACACAATTAATCATTGGTGAGTTAACTCTATTAGAATTTTTTTGAGCAATCAAATTCTTTAATTGCATACGATATTCCTCCTCGATCTCAGCATCAGAGTGTTCTTTATCAGCACATAAATTATCAAATATAGCATCTCTGATAGACTAATTGCTGAGATTATATAAGTGCTAATGGATCTTATCTAATACACATGAACACAATTTGATCTGATGCGGAATTTAGTGGACAGTAGATAATTATACCTCCGTTTGGAGAGGCCATCTCGGTAGAGAAATTAGAGTCTGAAGTTGATGACGGATTATTCTAGCAGCGTCTCCAGCACTTCGCCGGAGAAACGGCAAGGCCTTCACGTCAATGAGCCGCGCTCTCCTGATTGGAAAAGGAGCGATTCTGGGAGAAGACGATGACTAATGTGATGGACTCGTGTTTACATGCATCTGCTCCCTTATATAATGCACTGACTTTGACCGTGGGACCTTAACCATATTAACATAAATTCGGCCCCCCAATCACGGGCCCAATTGTTAATTGTCATTTAATTGGTATTAATCCTGAAATTAATTAATGGGCCCATATTAACTTATGGCAATTAATGTTTTGACCATTTGATCACATAATAATTCCAACATTCTCCCACTTGATCGAATGGTTAATCATCATTAGTCCATATCTCGGCAAAAATACCATACCAAGGTAATGTATTCACAGTAATCGAATAGTTATTATTGGAACCCCATTATCTATAGCATAATACTCCATCTTGACACGGATAATTATTCATGGTTGGGAGTTTGTATGTGCATGCAGGCATACTCCGTACTTATGGTCCTATAGAGCGAAACAAACTTTCTTATTGTCCAGATCAAAATTCAAGATCTCATTTATATAATTGTCCCAACAATTGGAGGCCTTGAGTTATACTTATGCTAGCAAAATTAATCGTAAGCCTTTAGTTAGGGGATCAGCTATCATGCACTTAGTACATATATGCTGAATTTAATATTTGGTCTTGGACAGTATATTTCACAACATGACACTCACTTAATTGTTGTTACTCGTGAACAAATGTGCGGATTTCTTATCGCACAAAAATATTAGATATGTAGTGTACCAATCTAAGTCCGGGCAAAATTGTTAAGGCAGAAGGCTTGCCTGGTTGTATCACAACATAGCTAAAATTAAAAATTGCATTGTCACCTTAGACAGTAGGCTTAGTAGTGGAAAACTAATTTTATATGTATCGTACCATAAAGTACAAATGTGATATACTAGCTCCCGCTCATCTTAGCGTACGTGCAATTTCCCTTCTTATTTCCTATATGGACCCCTCAACATTAATTTTTCATTGCCCTTTTGTATATAGCTCCCACTGATGCAAACATTCTACAAAGAATTAGAGTGTTTAAGGCCAGTGAATATTGGGCGACAATAACATACACAAAAAAACTTTGTTATTCTGGAAAATGGGCCAATGCGAATAATTCATGGGTGAAGGTAATGAAAGTGTAAAATACTTATAAGTGCTAGGAACTGGACCGAATTTTTTTTATGCGTATTATTTCCATATCCCGAGTACCGTGGAAAAACTCCTTTATCGGTTTTCTTTACTTATTTCCCTCAATATAACTAATAGTTTCACCCAAATCAGATAAGCCAAGTAGATGAAAGGAAGGTGTCTCTTACTTAATGATAGTGTTCATTTCTCCCCTTCGAAATATGTCTTAAATGGTAGTTTCATCGTTTCGATGAGCACTCATAATACACATTCAATGATTCACAAGAGACACCGCAATCAAAACCATCATGACAACTCTTAATGATCAGACATTGCAATCAGAAACATCATGGAAACTCTTAATGATCATTTCTCCCCTTCAAAACATGGCTTAAATGATAGTGACATCATTTTGATGAGATATCAAACTCATAATAAACATTCAAGGATTCACAAGAGACATCACAACCAGAACTATCATGACAACTCTTAATAGCATGATATTTGTTTTAAATCCATCATCTAATAGAGAAACAAAATAAGGTCCCTCTTTATGCTAGGAAATAACAGTATATTATTAAGATGGAGGATGAACAAATCTCCAATGCTTAAGGATAAATCCAATGCTTGAACATCAGTCCAGCTGGAAAAATCTAAGACTTCGATCCATCCTTTTGGAGTGTCCTCATAAAATGGAATCCCTTAAATGAGTTCGAATTGTGCAAGTGGCACCTGAGTCAACTCAACATTATTTATGGGAAGATAAGTAAACTAATGATTCATAAATTTAAGAAATTATGTCATTACCCTTATTACCAATATTCTGATGGCAACACTTTCATACCATGCCCATTAGATGGTCTTCTTCTTGAACACACATAGCTATGAGCTCACTCATGGTCCACTTCTCCTTTCGTGTGATATAATTGATCCTAAATGGACCATACTCCACGGGAAGGGAATTCATAATGAAGTCTACCAAAATGCCCTCAGAAATCTCAATGCCTATGCCCTCTAATTTTGCGGCCATATCGTTCATAGTTATGATATGTTTCCTAATGCCGCTTACACCATCATACTTAGTGGTGAGTATTTCCATTATCAATGTGCTGGCATATACTTTTGAGGATTTTTTGAATTGCTCCTCCACTAATGACAGGTAAGTTTTAGCACACCCAGAGTCAGGAATTGCTTCCCTGATCCCATAAGTTGCTGTGCTTTTCATGAGCTTGATAGACATGCGGTTGGAGCACTCCCATTTCTCCTTATTAGCCTCATAAACCTTACTTTTCTCAAGAAGGTTTTCATCATCAGAGGGCGGAGGAATAGGAGCTTTTTCTCTAAGTGCGCAGTCAAGGTCCATGATCACAAGGGCATTCAGAATATGCTCCTTCTAGGAAGCAAAATTAGTTTCATTGAGATGCTCAATTCCACTGATGTGCCCAGTAACACCTAATGGGTTGAAGGCTGAATTAAAGGGAAAAATAACATGGATATTAGAATTAAAAAAAAAATCTGAAAATAACATCCATATCACATTAACTTATTGCGTGTTATTTGCATTAGTCTGATTAATACATGCCAAAAATAAATTAAATCCTAATTCGCGACACCGTTGGGCAGTAACGAAAAAAGGAACAAATGAAATATCTTCATTGGAAAATTAATTCTAATAATAATGATCATAATCAACTTTGGTCAGAATATAATCATGCGTCACAAAAATTAATTATTGCAATTATCCCAA